CAGGGAGGGGCAGTATATGGTGTTAGGGAGTGATCTAATCTCATACTTTTACATGTACCTGTCCAGTTATCCCAGCACCACTTATTGAAGAGGCTGTCCTTTCTCCACTGTACATTCCTGCCTACTTTATCAAAGATAAGGTGACCATATGTCTGTGGGTTTATCTCTGGGCTTTCTATCCTGTTCCATCAATCTATCTTTCTGTTTTTGCACCAGTACAATACTGCCCTGATTACTGTAGCTTTGCAGTATAGTCTGAAGACAGGGAGCCTGATTCCTCCAGCTCCATTTTTCGTTCTCAAGATTGCTTTGACTATTTGGGTTCTTTTGTGTTTCCATACAAATTGTGAATTTTTTTTTTCTAGTTCTGTGAAAAATGCCACTGGTAGTTTGATAGGGATTGCATTGAATCTGTAGATTGCTTTGGGTAGTAGAGTCATTTTCACAATGTTGATTCTTCCAATCCAAGAACATGGTATATCTCTCCATCTATTTGTGTCATCTTTAATTTCTTTCTTCAGTTTCTTATAATTTTCTGTTTGGTGGCACAGGAAGCTCTTCTCTCGTCTCTCCCCACCCCTCACCTGAGGTATACAACTAGCCCCCAAGTCCAGAACCCTTGAAACCCCTTTTTAAATCACTTTGGAATAATCCTCTCTACACTTGAACTCTGTGCAATCCAAGCTCATTTTTGCTTAGGTATGAAATGCATGGCTATATCCAACAAAATGAGAATGATCCTGAAATTTTCTCTTAACTCAATATTTGCAGAAATGCATTTATGACTCAGTCTGACAATCTCAGCATAATACTGAAGCACAACACTCTTCCCTCACCCATTTGCTGATTGATGCTCTCATCCAAGCTAGCATTTCAGCCTCCCTTCAGTGGGGCTCCTACCCGATATCAATATCACTCAATTGGATCTCAAATTGTAGAATGCCCTGTTCACCTTGTAAAACCTCTTAGGTGGGCTGTCTCTGACAATACCAGGATCCAAGCCCTGCACATGGCTGAATCTTTGGAGTCCTTCATTTTGGTCTCAGAGACATCACAAGCCTTTTGTTAGCTGGATAATCGCCCCCCCACCGCCCCCCTCCACGCCTTTTGAACTGTCATCAGAGTGTATTGTTCGGGAATAGCAATGGAAACAAAATTGCTTTTTAAGAATGAAGTTTTAAAATGTGTTATGTTCTGCCACTTCTAATTCTAGAAAAGGATTAGTGCTAATCACTTCTTTTTAATATCCAATAAAGCATCTTAGGTGACAATGTTGATGATATGTAGCCTGAACTAAGGGAGGGGAAAACTTCAGTGGGGCTACTCCACAGTAATTGGTATTTCATAAGTTTCATATGTGCCTTTGTGACAGAGATAGTGAGGTTTGTTGAGGAGATAAAAGCTCAAAGAAATGGATTTGGCACTTGGCTTTCCAGCTGTCTCTTTCAAAGTATACTCCAGAAGTTTTAATAGGTAGAAACTGTTTGAATTTAGATACTATTTGCTGTAAGCTTACCAATATAGTCCTTTTTTGATGTGGTCTAGAGATGCTTGTAGCTTGAGCTCAACAGTCATTACCGCCAACAACCGAAGTTTGTTTCACAAACCCACTTATTTTGTGTGTCAGTTGGAGGATAGGCAACTCTGGAAAAGTACAGTTCTCCGATCCTCAGCAATTACTGAAGGTGGTAATTAATGAGAAAAAGATCTACATGGACCAAAACGAATTGCACTCATTCTGCAAACACTGCACCAGGATGTTTATACACAACTGCTCAGACCAAGCTGGTAATGCATTATATTATGTTTTCTTTGCAGACAAAGCTCCAGATTTCTACAACAAAAAGTCTAAGACCTCAGTGATATGAATTAATTTGAACTCAGAAGATTTAAGGCTTAATTAGAATTCTGATCCAAGACAGCAGACTGTGTGAACTGCTTTTGCTAAACTGTACTGTGTAAACATTGCATACTGATGGAGTTTGCTTGTCAACTCAACTGGTATTTCTGTGCAGTAAGCTTGTCTTTCTGTCAGCCAAGTGCATCATGGGAAAAGATCAGCATCTCAAAAGAGTGTGATCTGCATGTGTAAAGAGAGGAGGAAAAAAAACCCTCAAAGAAAAGGAGCTTTTGCATGTTTTTCAGTTGTTCAAAGGTTAAAAATAATGTTTTCTAATGATGTGCATTTTGGCCCAAGGATAGTGAGGGTTTTCTTTCTAAGAATTGGAAGATAAACTTTTTTTTTTAATTTGAGTCATACCATCTGTAACCCTTGGCTAAGTGAAGCATGCCACAGAAAGACCACAGAAAATGAAAATAATTTAGCAATATTTTGAGCTTTTCCCTAATCCCTCCTGTGGAAATCTTTGTTTTCTCATATCTACTACCTCAGCCAATTTATCTAAATCAAGAGGCATTTAAAAAAAATAAGCAGCAGGATAGCATAGGCAATGTGAAGAGCAGGAGTTGGCTTGTATAGACAAGTTTCAAATTCTGACTCTGCCTCTGAATCACCTTGAGCAAGTCACTTTATCTGTCTTCATCAGAGTTTCTTATGAAATACTGGCATAGAAAAGCATGTCATATTGATATGAGCGTTAAACGAAATAATGTATGTGAAAGTCCTGGCACTTAATGGGTGATTAAGAAACATCTATCAAATAATTTGAGACAACAAGTGTTTTAAAAAGTTTGTCTTCTCAATGACATTTTAAGGTCATTGTGATGTCTCTACTCTATTGTAGATGGACTTGTTTTATAAGCTCCTAAGACCAGGGGCTAAGTTCCTGTGATTCTTTGTTCTCAGCTCTACAATACGCACAGAGTTTTTAATAAGTGATTTTTGCTTGCCTCTGCTCAGCAAACAAGAACAAATTTCTTCTTCCTCCTTATCCTCTGATCCTTTGACAGTATTTTCCTCAATGACATTTGTCTGTCAGGTTCAGAGATTGTCTGTTGCAGACAATTTTCACCAAGAGTTTTTTACAGTTATCTGTGAGGGAGTTATTTCAATATAAGCACTGAGGAAGAGGAGAGAGGAAGCCAGTACACCAGGGACACCCAAATATTTGCAGAATATACTAGGTGCAGGTGGGATGCAAGCATACACAAAAGGGAAAAGGAATGAGGCAAAGAGAGAAGGGGATAATAGTAGCTAACACTTATTACAATTATTGAATGTTTAGTACATGCAGATGAAGAAACTGAGGCTTAAAGAAGTAAGTTACTCAAAGTCATACTCAGATAGATCCACAGTCTTTTGTCTGAAGTCAGATATGTTTTAAAATTCAGAAATTGCTGGATTTTTAGAAAGATATGTTATATGTGTACCATGTATTACATAACATCATCAGCAGGATCGGTGGTAACACCACATAATCAAATGCATTTATCATTATGCATTGAAAAATATGAATATTCACACCTGGTGAGATAAAGACTATAAGAAGATCCATATTAGTCCAGATCAAGTCACATATTGCTGCCAAATAAGCTACAAAACATCTTTACTTTTCAAAGCTTTTTAGATTATGGAATTTCAGATAAGGAGTTGCAGGCCTGTGGTAGGTAGTGGAGACTAGTAAGAACCCAGATGTGTCAGACTCCAGGGAAGGGCCACTTGCTTGCTATATCAATTCCAAGTTGTTACTGAACAAGGCACTGCAAATATAGCAGCTTAGCAATACGAATGTTTTATCTTACGGTTCTGTGGATCAGAAGTCCAAAATGCATCTCCCTTGGCTAAAATCAATGTATCAGTAGGGATGTGTTTCTTTTGGAGACCAGGGGATAATGTGTTTCCTTGTCTTTTCTAGCATAGAGGCTGCTCATATTCCTTGGCTCATAGCCCCCTCCTTCATCTTTAAAGTCAGCAATAGCAGGTTAAGTTCTTCTTACGTTACATCACTTTGACCTCCTCTTCTGTATGCTTTTCCATATTTAAAGGGCCCTTGTGATTACATTGGATCCAACCAGATAAACCAGGGTGTCATAGCCAGGGTTCACCAGAGAAACCGAACCCATAGGATTTATGTGTGTGTGTCTGTGTGTGTACCTTGATGCTTCCCTTGCCAGCTTCTATAGTTGCATGAGCCAATTCCAAGAGAAAGAGAGAGACAGAGACAGAGAGAGAGAGACACTGATTTAAGGGATTGGCTCATGCAAATACAGAGGCTGGCAAGTCCAAAATATGCAGGGTGGACCAACAGGCTGTAGACCAGGGAAGCACCAATGTTGCAGTTCAAGTCTGAAGGCCATCTGCTAAAGAATTCCTTCTTGCTTGGGAGAGGTCAGTATTTTGTTCTATTAAGACCTTCAGCTGATTGGACGAGGCCCACCCACATCATGGAGGGCAATCTGCTTCACTCAAAGTCAGTCCATTTAAATGTTCATCTCATCCAAAAGAACCCTTGCAGAAACATCCAGAATAATGTTTGATCAAATAACTAGACACCATGACCCAGCCAGATTGACACATAAAATTAACCATCACACAGGATAATCTCCCTCTCTCAAGGTCAGTGCACTAGCAGCCTTTTTCCATCTTCAATCTTAATTTTCCCTTGCCACAAAACCTGACATGTTGTCATTTCCAGGGATTAGGACACGGATAGCTTTGGGATCATTGTTCTGCCTACCACAGTGTGGTTGTGCAAGTTGTGCACAACATAATTCCAAGGGGATGTGGCTCATGTAGATTGCAGTTTGAATAGTGATGCAATGTGGAGGTCCTGTTTCAGAGCCCACCTGCCGAAAGACAGCCATTGCACATTTGTCTACCAGGGAGAGAGTATAGTAAAACTTTTTTCCAGGCTCAGCTTCTGCAAAACAAGGTGGTGATGGCTTCTACATTAATGTATCAGCTAGTTCCACAGGAACTGAGACAGGGCCAGGGTTCCTAGGGAAGTATCACCCTGCGGCCCGTAGGAGCAGTTGTTAGGGTTTTTGTTTTGTTTTGTTTTTTGTATTTTGGCCATGCAGTGTGGCTTGTGGGATCTTAATTCCCTGACCAGGGATCGAACCAGCGTCCCCTGCAATGGAAGTGCAGAGACCTAACCACTGGACCACCAGGGAATTCCCGTTAGGTTTTCAATTCCAAGTCTTCCTCAGGACCAAGCCAGGAGGGTCTCTAGTAGGCTTTTATAACTCAAACAGGATTTCCTCCTCCTGATAAATCTTTGGGCATTTTGTGGAAGGGAAGAGGAGGAAGCTGCATTCCTGATTATGGGAAACCTGGTGTGAGGTTTCAAAGGAACTGCTCCCCGTCCAGCCTCTGAGGCAGGGAATTCTTGGGTCTGGTGTAGTTGAGTGGGTAATGGGTATAAATCTCAATAGCTATGAAGCCATTGGATCTACACCATCTTTCTGCAGAGGAGCATTTTTCAGGAGAACCAAGAAATTGCTAGAGTATCTTATATTTTTATTGGTTTTTGCACAGATGACAGAAAAACCAAATATCTTCTGAATACTCAAGTCAGCAGAGAAATGCACCCTTACGGAAATTTGCTCTGTTCCTATCTCCCCAAAGGAAGCTGAGAAAAAAAACAACACAGGAGGGAAAAATCAGAAAGTCTTCAAATGTGCCAGGGCCATTCATACAAACTGTTTCAGGGAATCTAGGAGTAAAGAATCCCTCTTTTGTGGCTGAAGTGAAAAATCTCACTTATCATAATTTGCAAAAGCCCAGTGAGACAAAACTGTCTTTTGACCCTTCCAATTCCTACCGTAAATGGCCACACTCTAGATGTTTCATTGTTGTAAAGAGTAATTACCAAAGATTCTTAGGTAAATTGGTAAAAGTACTACTGTCAGTTTATAATCACTATTTAGTTCTTTGTAGTGTCTCCTGCAACTTCTGTTTCTGGCCTACTATTGCTCAAAGCACAGGCAATACTTCTGGTTTCATGTTGATTGGCTTTTATTAGCAGCCAGAAAGTTTGATCTAGATTAAAACAGTGCTGGTGAACATGGAGAACATGAAGAAAGGTCAGCAGGTTAGGCGAGCAAATTGCCACCAAATGGAGGATGTGACCTCAATTTTTCCTTTTGCAGGAAGGACCCATGGCTGACAAGTTCTTGTGAACATAGCAGTTGTTCAAGACAGGGGAATACAAAAAAGAAATATCTGACAGGACTTGGAACTCATAAATGCTTATCTAAATGCCCACTGGGCTGTTTGTTAATGGAATTAGCACAAGTCCTGTCAAGTCTCTGGTAGCACTCCAAAGCCCAAGCCTATTCTGTTATACTACATTATTAAATTATGCTCAGTATCTTCTGTTTAATGTATAATACATTTTAGAATGGAGTAAGGGCAATCTGGCTAAATATTATGATTTAAAGCAATAATAAAAACAACTTATTGCTTAAATGTAAAGGCTTTTGTTGTTGAAAGACCAAACAACATAGAGAAGACATTACTATATGCCATTTATTAACGCAATTTACTACTTTAAGTTGTCCAGATTTTTTTCAATTATCAGATAATCATAGTCTAGACAAGTGTCAGTAAAGCTTTTCTGTAAAGAGCCAGATAGCAAGTATTTTAGGCTTTGTGGGACAGATGGTCTCTGTTGCAACTACTCTACTCTGCCATTGTATCATAAAAGCAGCCATAGACACTGAGTAAATGAATGGGTATGGCTGTGTTCCAATATACTTTATTGACAAAAACAGCTGGAGGGTCAGATTTGGCCTGTGAGTAGGTTGTAGTCTGTTTACCCCTAGTCTAAGGGACAAGAAATAAACTCAATTGACTAGCTCAATTTTGTTAATATGCTGTAAAAATCAGAGTAATAAAGATCAGTCATACAATCTGGTGAGATGGTTATAGCTGTCCAAACCATTGTCTCCTCTACATTTTCAATGATCCTGACTTCTTAATGTCTTTGTTTTGTCTCCCTGTTGTTCTCTACTGTGCTAAGATGCCATAGGATCCTGTGGAAGAGAGGAAAACAATTGGGGATTGGGTGGTCATAGATCAGGGGGCATGGAATGCTTGAAGAAAACAGGATGATTTGGTGTAACTTGACTTATGTACATAGGTATGATTTATCTAATAGTTTTACTTTTTACTCTAATAAAGGACAACAAATTACCTAATCAAGACAAAATGGATATATGTTGCCTCCATCACTATTGGCCACGGAGGCCAGACTCCAGCAAGCACTCAGTTCTGTTCTTTTTCTGCTAAAGAAAGCAAGCATTTAGATTATGAAGTTTGAGTGTGTTGACTCTCTCTTACTGAGGAAAAGTGCTCCCCTCTCTCAGTATCTCTCATTTTTAACTCAATTTAATGCCAAGGGCCTGGTTATAATCTTACAAATCAAGTATACTTATAAAGTCAACTGCACATATAAATGTCAAGTGAACTATGTAGTTCCTCATCTCCTCTCCTACTGAAGTGTAGAAGGCACCATACGGAAGACCCATGATCAAGGATTCCAGTTCTTAATGGAGTTTGTTCTTGAGCTGGAGGCACAGCTATCTAGTCACCTATTATATTCACTCTGCAGCCTCACAATGAAATTGGAGCAGTTTTCAGAGCTGGAGTTGATGAACCACATACTTGTTTATAAGAAGGAGTTACATAGAGAGTGCAAGCTCTCTTGGTGAATTTTTTGAAAGAGAATAGGATCAACAGGAAAAACAATTTCAGGGGAAATTGCTTGTGTGCCCGTTGGGCAATATTTGAAAATGAATTTTGGATTATCTACTTACTCAAGTGACTGGAACACTGTTGCCTTCTTATCAGTGAATCCTGCCTGCCTGTGCAAGGGGAAGCGTGGCCACAATTTATATTTTTACTGAAATAGATCTTTTCCTCCAAACCCATTTATTTTTGGTTTTTAAGAAACATGCAAAGGCTCTAATAGTACGTGCTGAGTTTTCTGCACATGCATGCATTTCTTCCTTTACCCGTTTAGCGTACACTTACTGGGTGTCACCTATGTGTTAGGTGCTGCATAGAAATAGCAGTGAACTCACAGAGCTTACTTTCCAGTGGAGGGGACAGATCTTCAATAAATAATCACCCAAGTAAATAAATAATTAAGAACTATGGTAAGTGCTATGAAGGAAAAGTACACTGTGCTCCTAGAGCTTATAATAGGGAGAAATGACCTAGTCCAGGATCAGGGAAGCCTACTCTAAGGAAGTGTCCATTTGGGCCGAGATTAAGAGCGTGTCAGGCAGAGAACTCTAGATGCAAAGCCCTTGAAATGGGAAGGAGCCCGGAGCCTTGAAAGTAGACCAATGTCTCTCAATGACTGAGGAAGCGAGTAGGAGAGGGACACAAGACTCACTTCTTCATCAACAGTTCTGGGGGAACCACTGTGTACAGGTACTGTGGTAGGTACTGGGGATATGATCATGAAAAATAAAATTCCTGCCTTCGTGGAACTTACTTTGTAGTTGGTAAGGGAGATTATAAATGCATGACTCTATATTAATTTAATTTCCTATAGTAATAAATGTTCAGAAGAAGATGAAACTGGGTGGTCAGGGAAGCCTCTCTGAGGAGATGCTATTTGAACAAATCGAATTCAGTCAGATTAGTATCTGGGGAAGAATTTTAGGCAGTGAGATCACCTGGTGTGTCTTTTAGATTATTTTATTTAATGTTCCCAACAACCTCAAGATGCGTATACTAGGTAACTTTTGTTAAATGAACAGCTTATACATGTCAGGGTAAGATTTAAACCCGTCTATCTATTCCTTTCCTCTTCCCATTATGTGATACTGTTCCTTGAGAGGGTATTAAGCCATTCCATACATGCATGAGTCATTTAATCATTTCAGTCAAAATTGTCACATCTGAGAATGGACATACTCCTTAACAAGTATCCTGGATAGAGCCCCAGGCTGATGCTGATAAAGCCATTCTCACCTTTTTTTTTGCTGGAGAATACTCCTTTGGGGCCTGGTATGAGGAAAGCACGTGCTTACTGTATAGTTTGCAGTATGCTTGGAAAAGGTTGTATAACATACACAAAGTCTGAGAATAATAGGAGACTTAGGTTCTATGCTCCTTCTTCCATTCAATTAGTTGTGTAAACTCAGGCAAGCTACAACCTCTCTGAGTTCCAGTTTCTTCATGTGTAAAATGGCATAATTCTATCTTTCTTGTCTACCTCTCAAGAGCTGTTGTGAATATCCTGTTAAAATGTCCCTACCTTCAAAATACCCAGAATCCATGTATTTCTCACTATCTTCACCGGTCCAACCATGAATACTTCTTTCCTGGATTGTTGCAATAGCAGCCCAACAGGTCATCCAGTTCCATCCTTGCCAACCCCACCTGCCAACTCAATTCTGAATGGAGCAACAAGGGTGATCCTACTAAAAGCAAGGCACATATTAGTGGGACTTACTATTCTGTTCCAAATCTTCCAGGGGCTCATTAATTCACTTGTAATTAAAACCAAACTCCTAATACTGGCCTACATGTCCATTCATGATCTGCCACCTATGTAACACTCTGGCCTCACCTCCTCATCTAGTGCTCTCATTCACTCTGCTCCAGCCTCTCTGGTTTTCTGGTTATTTCTCAAGCATGATCTCAACTCAGAGGTTTTTGCTTGCTCTTGCCTCTTCCAGGAACACTATTTGGGCAGAGAGCTACATGGCTAACATTCACACTTCTCTCAAGTCTCTGCCCAAATGCTACCTTCTCAATGAAGCCTACTATGAGCATCCTATTTAAAACGGCAACCACCTTCCTCACATCTCAGACCCCATTATTCTGCTCTACTTTGTCCTTTTTCTTTTCCATAGAACTATTTATTGTGTAATATAATACATACTTTACTTGTTTATACAGTACCATATAATTTTGTACCAAATGGGAAATTTTTGAGAGTAGAAGTGCGTGCTATTAAATGACGCCAGGATAGCAGGTACAAACTGGGACTGCTGGGCTTCACAAAGATAGGGATCTTTGAATGTTTTGTTGTTTGCTTATTTATTTAATGTGCCAGCAACGGTGCCTGACATGGTAGGTTATCAATACATATTTTTGAATAAATGAATGAATACTACATATGAAAGATGTTTATAAGTTATAAAGTACTACA